ACGCTCCCACTTATATGCATTTTTATCGAGCTGACATTGAATTTTAAATATTTCTCCAAAACAACTCGAACGAACGTCGCAACCGGGACACCTTGGCAACGTGTGTGCGAATGTGTGTATCGTGTTACGAAACCCACATGGTTTGATCACTCCTACGTAACATACGCGCCCAAAGCAACGTGTGTGTGAATTGCGAAGATTACCTCTCCCTCCAAGTACTTTGATAAGACATACATCGACATACATATGTTATTAACCGGCATCATTACCGATATTAGACGTCGGCTATGTGGTATTTGCTAAAAGCGAGATGGACATGTAGCGACGGTAGCGCGTAACAAAGTTACAAGGTTTTCTTTACGTAAGAAAACACGCGCACTTGCGCGCGCTATAATAAGACCGGAGAAGCCGAATTACTATTCGATATGTTATGCTTTTCAATTTATATATACCCGGGGAAAAAGATGGTCATATAAGAAATTTGCCCACATATGGCTATATATATAATCATATATATTCACAACAAAAAAATACTGTTGTTTATAAATTATATACAATCGAAGTTTCTGGCTACCTTGTGCTTCTGATAGCACATGATATCGACATTTAATTAAATGACATTTTTTTCCTATGGATATATATGTAACCACATAAATTCATATACGACTTTATATAATTATATATAATCACGTATAATCATTTTTTCCCGAGTCTTCTAGACGTGTGTCGCCCGGTGATTGTTATCGCGAAAGTTCAATGTCGACTGTTATCGGAGAAAAATTCAAAGAAAAATATGCTGTTTTTATGAATAACTTCGCATTTCAAATAAAGTCGTTTACGTCGTTGATAAATGTTATCGTGGTTTAATTTGCAAATATGGTTTGGTATTTGTAAATTGGTTTTCTTGCTAAATTCAGTCTCGTTTGTCTCGTTTAAAATATCACGATAGAAAAGAAAATACCTGTAAGGATTGAGGAAAATCTTCTTTAGAACGATTATAAATAACTGTTCAAGTATTATTAATACGTATTTGCTATATGATGCTAAGATACAATATGAAAAGAAGTTTTTTGCAGCGCAATAAGAATCAAGTCGCAAAAACATCTACGTGCTCGCAAAGACGGGTGTTAAATTACATTGTCGAAGCAAAACAAGATGAAACATCTCGTCGTGCGAAATTGATCTTCTTGTAATAATTTATTAAAAGGAAAAAAAATATTTCCTACTTCTCTCACACCTAAGGTGGAAATCGTAAAAAACTTAGCAAATTGTACAGTTTGATCAATTGTTCGGTTACAAAAAGGTTGCAAAATGAGTTTTCGCAACGCGAAAATATCTAATAATCTCGTATCCAATAGGAAAATGTATTTCCTGAGAATTATTGGAAAAGAGCAAATTCTCCTACTGGGCATAGGATGCGTTTCGAAACTTATCGAAAAAATGTTGCAACTCTTTTGTGACTGATCATATATCAGCCTGCACATGCATGGATTTGTACAACTTTTCCAGCAGAATTAACCAACTTTGATTCAATTGTGAGTTCGCTTTCAAGAAGCAACTTTTTTGCGCATTTTTATCGGTAAAAAAATACATTAGGAGCGATATTCGATATCACCGCAAATACGCTGCATCCGCCATCTGACGTTGGATGAAGAGTACCTTTGCGTCGCAACTGTTTTATCATTTAGTCAAGAAGGGCTTCACAAAAAAGAAAAAGCTATTGTTTGAGAACAATAAGATCGTAATTTAATTTTCATGCAATGTGATTATCGCGTAAACGTTCGTATATGACATCGCGAAATTTGTGTGCAGATCTTAATACCGACTAAACGATATAAAAAAACAGGCTGTATTTTATATTAACCGTCTTTCCGCTTCGGTCAATGTCGGGGAGAGCAAACGTCATCAGTTTCGGAACGGCAGCGGCAATAATCGTCGGCAACGTCGGCGACGATCACATGATTTTTGACGTTTAGTAGCGCTACTGCACCGTCGTTGTTCCCAACATGGCCGCGACGGAATGCGAAGCAACGGAGGACAGCTCGACGGACCTGTTGAGCAACGCATTCTCCGATGAGGCTGTCAACGTGACTGAGAAGCACGAGAGCTCCAGCATTCCGTTGCAGACACCATGGACCTTCTGGCTCGACAAGTGAGAAAGAAAGAGATCAGCATCAAGAAAAGAATAATTTTGTTACGTTTCTCGAGAAGAAGCCCGACAAATACGTCCCTATATCCTTATCTCCATTGTGCTTCGTCAAACGTTACGTCGTAAATTTCCCGTTGTGCCCGATAAAGCCGTACAGATCAATTTTGCACGGCGAGAGACTTCTGATCTCGCTTCGCCCCGACAACTGAGAAATAGTCGTAACGCGTAATCTTAACACCCGTCCTTGCGAGCACGTCGGTACAACTTGATTTTTGTCGCAAAAAACTTCTCTTAGCGTGTACGCAACTACGTATATTAATGGATGGTGATGTTTGAGTAGTTATTTGTGGCCGTTCTAAAAAACTGCTGAATTAACAGGGCTGTGCCCGGCACAACTACCGAAGAGTACAAAGCCAATCTGCAGAAGATCTACACTGTAGATACTGTGCAAAATTTCTGGGCCGTCTTCAACAACATACCAAATGCCGGGGACATGCAGGTACGATATAATTGTATCTTATTATCCGCTAATTAATTATTTCTCTTTTGTGTCATGTCGATTACATGATTATTCGTCGCTCCGGTAATCTGATTGAATATCTCTGTCGTCAGGTCAAATACAGTTACCATTTAATGAGAGATGAAAGATATCCCCTATGGGAAGACAAACTGAATCAAAGGGGTGGAACCTGGAGACTAAAGTGCCATAAATATGATACCGTGAGTATTGCGAGAAGAGCGGAGATGTAAAGATTATCGATACACGAAATGTTTTGCCTCTTAGGAACGTGTGTGGAAGGAAGTGGTGCTAGCAGCAATCGGGGAACAGTTCACCTCGCATGTCGCACAGGACGACGAAGTTTGCGGAGTCACCGTCTCTATTCGTGACAGAGAAGATCTCATTCAAGTACGTATGCTGTAAGAAACTACTTTACACAGAGATAGAATGGGATGTCAATCTCTAGCTCGTTTGTAGATTTGGAATATCAACGCTGATTTGGCGTCAAAGGCCACGGTCGTACAGAAAGTTCATGCCCTGGTGCCTAACGTAACTTTTCTGGGAGACTTTTACAAACGTGAGTCTCCCTATCTCGAGTTTCTCTCGATATCTTCTCGTTTAGACGCATAACACAACTGTTATCTTACAGCTCATCAGTCTCACCACGCCTATGGGAGACGTTAAAATATATACAACAGCGCTGTGATGATAATTAGGAAGATGAAGGGATACGTTATTACTACAATAACATAAGACGTGTTATCTGCAAATGGATATTCACACACCATTGTAACGAAAGCTCGAAGAAAGTCTGTTTTCATTAAGATCGCGCCCGAAGATGCCATTTATATCTTGTTTCTAACATTTGTTATCAAGTACACGCGCGGCTTGTTGTTCAACGCGCGTGCTATATTTAATAAAGCGTTATTTACTCGCTGGGTACGATTATATATATTTTAGAAACGAAAGAGAGGATCGCTGTTGTAACGCTGTTTTATCTCGAACGTGAAATATATTTTTATATCTACCACGTATGCGCGTGTGTGCTATTATTCCTCCACGTTCTCGCCTCCGCGCGTGCGTAATATTTCGAGATGATGCATCTTTAAACGCACACATGCATTCTTACGATCACGCGGCCAACGGAACGCGGGAAGATGGATCGTCCGAGGAATGCCCACGGAATTTTAGCACTAATGTATAACCGGTATTCCTCACCTATACATCCGCGGCGCCTGCCGTCGATCGCGATTTATTCCGTCCGTCTGCGTAAATTGATCAACGACACGTCAAAGGTGGCACTTAAATTCCGCGAGAATAAACGCGCGAAATCACGGCGGTGAAAGGGCCGAGAACACACGCACGGACGGAGAAAACGTCGACCCTGAATTTGAACTGAATTCGAATAAAGACGTGTGAGGGTCGCGCGCGTGTGTGAAATTCCTCTCGCGGCCGATTGGAGGCCGACTAACACGATCCGGAGATTCCTTCGAGCACACGTCGAAAAAGAGAGAGAGAGAGAAAGAGAGAGGGAACGATCGAGTGCTTAATCGATTCCCTTTGAAGCCGGTAACGACTACTCGGCGCCGAGTTAACATTTTACGGCTCCCCGATATTATTCATTGACGTCAACAGGATGAGGATACCAAACGGGGATATAAAACGCGAGTTTATGCGTGTGTGCCTACTCTTAAATCAGATTTAAATTATGTCCCGATTCACGTCCAGCGACAGTTTACATCTAATATCGCCGTGACGCAAACGTCATCCGATCGTTAGTGCGAATACGATTGACTCGTGAATACGCGTTACGTCGTTATTTTTTTTTTCCGCGCTCTTCAAAACCAACGAAAGAGATAACGTGAGATACGTCGAAAGAAACGCAGAAGCGCCGAGTAGGAGTAAACATTTTTGTTTTCGTCGGCTGCATTAATTCCGCAATCGTCGCCTCGGCGTCAGACTAATCTAGCACGCGCCGTTGATTATAATTCAGCCTACTGTCTGACCAATGCCGCCGATCCAACGGCGCAGCCTCCGGGCGTAGAACGTCTCCGACGAGGAGATGATGGGATTTCCTGATTGCGGAATGGCGCCACGGGACATCGCGCGTGTGTGTGCGTGCACATCTTTTTATACCTGCTGTATATGCTTGTATGTGACGCCAACAGAAACGTATTGTTGCATTATAAAAAAGTTAGTTGTAAGTTTTCGAGAAAAGATCATTTTATTATCCGGTTTTTCCGAGTATTCCTTCGATTTCTTTCCCGAGGTTGCATACATTCGTTTAGAAAATTCATGTGTGTGTTCGGTTAAAACCTGCCAGATTTGTAAGAAATTCATACATTTTTACATTCAGATAAGGCAGTAAAATATCAGCTGTACAGCTGCTATCTCACCTTTTCGTCGCTTATGTCATTAGTTTGTTATCGCTGGTCATCTGGAATTTTTTTTCTTCACAGAGAAAAATGTTTCTTTAGATTTAATATCTCTATTTATTTGACTAAAATTTGCTTCACAGAAACAACATATACGGAATATATTATTTGAGTAAAAATTTTCTTGTGTCCCATTCAAGGAAACTCTATTATTTAACAGAAAGAACGTTATTATTTCAATTTGAATGTAATAAAATTTATTAAATTCGAAGAAACTTTTTTCTCAATATATGTATGATTCTTGCGTCCAATAAAGTATTATTATTATTTATCCTTTTCCGTAAAGAAGATAAAAAGAAAAAAATACGCGGAAAATGGGGGGGAAAGAACGGAAACTTTAGAACTATAATAAGGATTCGAGACTTTTCGCAGCAACGTGACGCGCCTTTTGAGAAGTAAGAGGATCGTATTTTCGTAAATCCTCACCGCCCGATAAAAACTCGATAAAAAAAACGGAAAGGGGGAAAGGGTATTCATCGTGGACTTCGTAACAAGCGGCGCGGGGAGACGATATAATAGAAGAATTAATTGGACGGTAATAAAGACGGCCGCGGCGTTTATTGGCTGTGCTTTCACGCGAAGTCCCGCTAAAATACTCTGAAGAATTCGCGCGCTGTCCGTTAATCGCTGACAAATAGAGTTTTATCCTCGTTCCCCGCGGAGGCGTAATTAATATGAGTATCCTCGCTGTCCGAGACAGCCTGAGCGCGCACGCGATGATTTATGCGACGATATTTAGGAACGGCCTTCAGAGGACGAGTGGCGTATTATTTTCGCAAAGAAATAAATACGCTCGCGCGGCGGGTCCTTACTTCGCAGCACACTCTCGTCTTTCTCCTCCATCGCTGTCCAATAAATTATCATTCCATTTCGACGCGCCGATCTCGCGGAATTCCCTATCCACGCTCTGCCGGCCATTAATCAGTCGTGTAACATTGTTCTCTCTCCGCGCATTCGAGTCTACGCGCGCGAGCGAACGAAAAGCCCGTAATTTCGTGTTATTTAACAATTACGGAGCGCACACCGCCGTGACGCGACCATCCGGAACGCTCCTTTATCCCACTTTTTTTTGCCCTCGATGTTAATTTACTTCGCCTCTTCGTCGAAGGTCGACGCTAATGCTCTCCCCGACGACTTCCGTTTTTCAGGAAATCGTACTTTTCGCGCGCTAAAACGATGACCGATATCAAGCGGAGTCACGGGGTGCGACGACCCGGCAAATTACGCAGGAATTCGCGTTCGGTTGCTCCCGCATTCCGCGAGAGAGAGAGAGAGAGAGAGGTGAGAAACCATATCCGCCCGAAACTGGAATCCGCTTGTTTTCGTTTTCTTTTTCATCTTCCTCTCCTCCGCGATTTGCGTCAATGCGCGGCGATTTCATTCGGACCTTCATGCTCAACGACGATTGCACCGAAAAACCGTTTGCGAACGGCCACCGTAGGGTGGCCGGACAGATGGACGGAAATCTAACGACTTTTACTTCTGCAACGCGACGGAATTCTATTGTCGTGCGCGAATCAGAAGAAATCGTATTCCAATATTGCACTTTTATTTGTACGACTTACATATAACATATTGTGCTTAAAGAGATGATTTCCCGTGAATAAAATGGATAATAACATCTTTTATAATATATATCAGATGATAATAAAGAAATAATTAGTTCCCCTTATAATGTCAGATTCTACGCTAGTGACGTCTTAATAAAATCTACGTAGGATCAGGAAGCGATTTCCATTTTCTCGCGCACACTTCCGCTTTCGCGGCCCCGTCGGTGGACAGCCGTTGTTGAGTGCGGAAAGATCAACGTTGCGAATCGCGCGATACCGTTGCATCCGAGAGATGCGTCGAATCCGTGGTTAAAGTCGAATGATGTAACCGCTTTACGGTGCGGTCGGCGATTGTGAGCGGGCGTATAATCGACTTGAGGTTTCGAAGATTTTTTCCGGAAAATTTTCGATCGGACATTTCGCCACCTTTTTTCCGGGATGTTAAAATTCGCGGCACGGTGTGGACGAACGTTCGCTCGTGGCGTTCGCAATGACGAAAGCCCGGATTTATCGGTGCGGACTGGCTCTTCCGGTTGCCACGAGGTTCGTTACGAGCGATCCATCGTCGCGCATCTGCGTGCGAACTATTTTTACGTAATCACCCGTGGAATCCCTGCGGTCGACCCTGCGACATTACATAATTAATATCGCTAAACCGTGACGGAGATCCTTTCTCCGGGCGTGGGACGATGCCGTTAGAACGATGAGGGGACAAACGCGCGTGGAATTCGCTTGATCACGCCGATTTGAAAATTCCTCGGCACGACGGTAATCAGAGGCAACGTCCCGAATGCATCGCGAAGGAGATTCTTGTTTTTTGCCGATTATTTATTTATTCACGGGAAATATACCTTTGGTACAGTATGTTCGACGAATCAATCACAAAAGAAGAAAGAAAAGATATAGGAAAGAGAAGAAGTAAAGTACAGCCTATGAAGTACCGCATGAAAAGACGCGTTATAATGACACATAACTCTTTAAGATTGCTACATAGGTTTAAGTAACCATCATTAATGGCGCTTCTAAAGGAGGACAGTGATAAAAATTAATTCCATTATTAGCGAGAAGAGGTTTATATCACCCAGAGTGTAAAAAATAGTGGTGCTGTTCGATACAGAAGAAAATATCTAAGGAATCTAGCAGGGATGTTGAATAAAGTCGAGCTAAAATTCGCTCGGACGGTCAATTGGAACTTTAAAGTTTCATCCTATCTTTAAAGGATGAAAGATTCAGTTCAGCGGAAATGGGTTCATAATTATGACAGGTGACTTTATTACTTATTTTTCTTTCATGTTTTTCTATTCCATTGTCTTTCCCGTAAAGGTAAATTGTCGGTCGAAGGCAACAACACGCGAAATCGCTCGAAAACCGCCGCCCAGCTGTGTAACTTCGTTAATTGGGCATCGGCCAATTAACACGCGGTGTCCCTTTGCAGAGCGCGTTTAACTGAATAAAGGCGTAATAAAACAAACAAAATCGTTCGATCGGATATCCTTCCACGTCGATGAACACACAACCGAGAGTGCATGCGTACAGTGAGTAAAACGGCATCGAGGTCGGCGTTCAATTGAATTGGAAAGCAGAATGACACAATCCGAGCACAACGCGCGTCCATATTTGCCACGTGATGTCGATCGATGATGAGAGGAATAATCGCAGATTTCTTATTCTTGCATAATTTCGATCTAAAATTATTATGTCTTCTCAGTAAGCAAGAAATCCAGTTAAGACAACGTTATTACAATGATATTTTATAGCATGTAACGTTTTCAAATATGCAGTTTTTAATCGTCGTTTAATACAACATTACTGCTGGCAATGTTTCACCGAAACATTGTTAAAAAGATTTTTTCATTTTTCGCGTTCGAGCCGTCCTGGAAACTGCGGCAAAAAACGAACGCGAAAAATTCCTCGGATTTCGTCGCGCGAAGGAATTTTTTGCAATTCTTATGTTATGTTAATCCCTGTCGTCGGCGGACCTCTGGGAATACCGCTGCCTCGTTGAAACTTGATCGAAATGAATTACCGCCGGCGCGACACCGTGATCTTGTTTAACGATTTCGCGCATCTGGAGATCTCGTGTCGATAAATATCGATTCGGAACTTTTGCTATGAGTTTTTCGCCTGTGAAACACACCTCGTCGATCGATTTGAACGATCGGTCCGGGAAGGGACGAATGTGAAAGTGAAATTGGGAAATGATGTACACATTTTATTCTATGCGCGCGCGGTGAATAAGTAACAGCGGGGCGTTATGTATACACGCCGCGCTCCAGCGGCAGCCTTCCGATCGATGTGACATTCGTTTAATCGCGAATATTAGTTTCGACGTCATTGCGATCGCGCGAGATGAGCGTATCGGTCGTTCTTTTTCTTCGATAACTTCGAGAGCGAAGTCGGCGAAAAGAGATCGTCTCGACTCGCGAAATTATGCGCAATTTATCAGCGACGCGCGATATATTTTATTTTATTGCGCGAACGATTACGTAAAAGTCAGTCGTAAAATCGTCGCGGGAACGATTTCACGGAGATTTGCGATCGGCGAACGGTATCGCAAATGAAGATAACTCGCGCCGGAGGTAGTTGCGATATTCAAATAAATGTTTATGCGTGCGAATAACAATGTGCCATTCGTTGTCATGCATTATTCATTATCGCGCATTGTTATTTATTGCGCGAAATTATTTATTATTTCCACTCGCATTAGTTGTCGCGATTTCGGTAGCCGCGCCTTTCCTATATTTAACATCTGCGAACAAAATTTCGCGCGATTCTATTCATGCACGAAAATAAATTCTTGAAAAAATTCTTCTACATTCGCAAAATAAAACGTTTCTTCTCATTCGTTATCCGCGAACTTGCCCAGCTCTCAGAGGCCGTTGAGCCACGTTGGGGAATGCGATCTAAGAGCATGATGAGGTAGAAGAACCGGCCGGACCAAGGTCGAGCCCTTTTTCAGGCAAATCTTGGAGCAGGCGCACCACCTTGAATTGGATTACCTAACCGGCCCTCGAAGGAACTGTTTTCTCACTCTTCCATTCGGAATATTTTTTTTTTCGTAGTCGAAATTCACCCGAGATCAAGCGTGATTCGTCTTCTCGCGAGATTTAGATTTATGGAGAATTAAAATTTGCCAGAGGTGTCTCATTTTCAATTGTTAATTATCCGGATATCATTGAAGCCTTGACATTTTCGTGACGTCGGCGAAAAGTCGCTACGAAATCGGAGCCAAGAATTTGTAGCGAAAAAGGAATTCGCATGCCTGCGCTTGCTGCGTATAAGAAATACCGAGGGACGGTATATAAAAGATAATATATTTAACGAGGCGAATCCGCGACGCGATAATGAACGTCTCCTCTTTCATGCATCTCACTCTACATTATGACAGAAAAGCCGGCGGACTTTCCCCGGGCGTTTATTTTGCGCGCGAGGAATTTCGGCTCCGCGGCGCCGAATAAAATTAAGGAGCCTCTTTTTTGCGCTTTCTGCATACTTGTGTCGCGCCGGCGATTTCCTAGAGCGTGTAAATACGTTCCGGATCCATGGACTCTGCTCCTCCTCGTACTGACGTTACAAGAAACCCGGATGGTAGCGGACGGCCGATAGTGGGGACGACACTCCGACGCTTCGTGGTAGTCGTCATCGGCGTGCAAGCGAACATAAAACGAAGCGGCGAACGAGATCGAGGCTCAGTGCTTACTAGGCGATCGATCGCCACGGACTCGCGCGCGACCAATTCTCGTTGTTGTTTGGTGACAACGACAGCTGCACGCGTGTGAAATAACAGCAAAGCGGAGTGAAGTCGTGTGAAAAGATAAGGAGAGGAGAAAAGAGCACGATGGCCGGTAGAACTTTAATTCTGAGGGTCTCCACCTGTATTCTGCTCGGCTGCATGACGATGCGAGTCACCGGCTCGGCGATACCGATGTGGGAATTTCTCTCAAGAGATGAGAAAGTGAGTACCGCCGGCCGCAAAGTCCTCTGCGATCATTTTGCGATATGTAGGTCGATATCAAAAGATTCGTCAGTTTCCACACTGAGAAAGAGATTTCTTCGAAGATTTGATCAATTTTATCGCATCCAAACAAACTTCATCATTGGCACGCTCTAATGAAACTAATGTTTCGATTAATAAGCACGACTTTTCAACGCATATGTATCTTTGTCTTAAATAAAAAATTTGTTTAAAACGAAAGATAATTTTCTTATAAAGAAATTATTTCTTTCATTTTAAATATATTTATTGTAACCAAATAATATTTTATTATTATATCATTTTTATATTTTATTCTTTGGTTAAAAGATATTCATTTAAGTAATAGCATTCTTTCTATTAAATAGTAAAGTTTTCTTGAATGAAACAATACAATTTTTACTCAAACAAATAATATTTCGTATATGTTATTTCTGTGAAACAAATTTTAGTCAAATAGACAGAGATACTAAATCTAAAGAAACCTTTTTCTCTGTGCATCTTATTGACCTCGTCAAAGAATCCAGCACTAAAATATTTTTCACACAGATTCGTCTTGTACACGCGCGCTTCAATTTCACGACTTTCGGTCGTTCTCGCCAGAAATCACGCCAGAGACAGCGTTTTCTCCAAGTTTTCTGAGACAAAAAACGTGTGGAAAGCACGAGAAAATCGTATGGAAACGCGGAAGAGGCGATGTGCGTGAAAGAGAAGATGCGTTTTCGGTTTTTATTCGTGGCCTTCGACATTCGTGGCCGCTAAATCTCACTCGTTGATCTCGCGTGAACGCGAACACGAGATATTACAAACATCTCTCTTCGTGAGGCGGACTTTCACCGAGCGAGTTCGTTGCGCGCGTTGTATCCGAAGCACGTGCCGTGCTCGGTTGAGTTGCAATCAATTTGTATTTCTTGCGTGCATTTCGTAGAAACGATCGTAACGATATCGACGTTCGGGCGCGATTTCGAGGACGGCCGCCTACTTGAAGATGCGCGAAGTCGCCCAAAAAAGGCTGAAGAAATTGTCGTTTCGAAAAAATTTTCGATATCGTTGCTGCGATATTTTTATCGCCGAATGCAGCCTTTCGATCGTGCAGATAATTTCGCGGGGCTATAGTCGTGGAAATCGGAAGCTTCGCATTAGATCTCGGATTGTTATCGATCAATAGCAGGACGTCGACACCCATTTGCCTCGCAACCCTCCCGTCGCGTATCTTTAGCGGAATATCATCCGTTGTAAATTACGGACGGACGGCTAGAAAAATCGCGCGCGATCACCGCGATTACACGCAGCAGCGATCGGGGATAATTGCGGCGACTGTTAATTGTTTCGCCGTGACACGATAATCGCGCGGCAACGACCGCGCGTCTCACGAGGTGGGGGAGGGAAAGATGATTGAATTTATTCTCGATACGATATTGAGAAGCGACGCTTCGTCGAATTTATGAAATTTCAACACGGAAACGCGCGACGTTGCTCTGACGTGCAGAATCACGCTGATCAAAATGCATTAATAGAAAGCTCTCGCGAGTGATGCTTGTCTTTTTTTTTAACGTCATATCTAATCTCGATATTTTGCCTCGTCTGGATTTTATAATTAAAAACAGGAATCGTGTGAAGTTTAATTAGCAAACGCCGACTGACTCGTTTTGATCCACCGGGAGGGCAGGTGTTCTCCGTGCTCTTGGTCAAGGCTGCACGCGCAGGCAACACTACTACGCGCACTTCGCGCAGCTACACGGATTAAACGTATACATGTAATACTCGAAGCGAGTAAAAGCGATCGCACGTAAGAGCCGAGTCTTGAAGTTCAAGAGCACCGTAGCGTATCTGGAATCGGTTTCTCGGCGCTGCGGTCTGAGGAACAAGTCGAGCTGGAAATAACAGGACGTACTTTTCTCTCGAAATATTACACGCGCGTGTGTGCGAATTAAGAGTTTCCTGTAAGCTGCTCGATACTTGGACACGGGAAAGAAATCGAAAGATTGTTCTGGAAACGAGTATCCTTGAGACACGGACTGCGAAGAACGAGCGTGAGGTTTTTCTTTTCCCACGTGCAAAGTTAGCCGGGGGGGGATGCACGATGGACAAAAACGCGCGGTACAAGTATCGCCGCTTCAAAGTGCGTGTAAGTCCACTCGCGTAACCACAACATATGGTCATTGTCTTTCCGCGCTAATTCGTCGGCAGTCTCGCTCGCCTCCGCTTTCTCCTAATTTCCGGAATCGCGGTGAGAACAAACGGGACGATAATTCGACACCACGGAGGAGGAACGTCCGTTATATCCGACGAGATATCCAACCAGCGATATTAATCGCACACGAAGCATCGCAAAAAATTCCTTTTCCCGCTCGACTTCCCCTTCTCTCTCACGTAACTACACGGGCAAAACTACGTCGTTATTACTGCATATTCGACGGCTGTAAAATTTAGTCGGTCATAACCGGGAATAGCGAATTATTCGTACAGTAGAAACAATTTTGTTGCCTGGATAGAAAAAATCTGCCGAGTGAGTTTATCCTTGAGCAGTGTCTACCATGAAAATTCAAGGCGTAAGACTCTTTTAAGCCTTAAGTTTTTTGCGCCTCAAGCGGTAAAAAATTGACCAATCGATTGTTCTTCTCACATTTTGCTCACGTGATTGATCAATTTCTTATTGCTTAAAGCTTAAGTTTTACGCCTTAAATTCTCATTGCCGGTCTTTGGGATATTAATTTGTTCTCACAGCAAGATAATTTGTAGATTCAGCGAAATAATCCTGCGAAAGTAGTGCACTGATAAAAAAATTCCTACGTTCGTAAGTGAATATTTGCTGAGAAATATTGGAGTAGTTTTTTTTATTTGGATTAAGTTTACTTCATTCGAACGTAGTAACCTTTTCTTCCCGGTATTCTCAACAAATCGTTCCGTTGTCCACGCAGTGGACGACCGACCGATTTTGTCGCAACAGCATAAAACGTACGTGCGTCAAAAGCATCGGGAGGTTTGTCCTCCGCGAACACCTATCCACGTGCCAAGAGTGTCGAAACGGTGTCTTACGGTAACAGAAGAAATTCGCGAAAGAGAATCACCGATGATGATGTACGGGGAACGTCGTTAGAAATTCTCAGATCGAACACGCGCGTCATCGGAGGAATCCATCTGTGCGCGGCGGTGCGATCTCGTTCGCGCGGTTACATTCTGGCGAAAAGCGTAACTCGCCGGAGGATCGCGTCGCGCATATGACTGCCATCAGTCCCTACACGTTTCACCGGTTCGCGAGCGTTCTCAACGGGGCTGTCGCGAACGAGGAGAGCCACGAAGAGAGCGTTTCGTCTCTAAACAGTCCGCGCCTTTCAGATGAGTCACCTGTACGAGCTGTTCAGCAAACAAGTGGCACGGTTCTGCGCGGATTCGTCGAGGCCGGACTGCAACAAGAACCTGCTGGTGTCCGGCATACGGAGCCTCGTCGGCATGGACGACAACGTCCTCGACAAGTTGGACCCTTACCAACGCGGCGCTAAAGACATGAGTAAGGATGCCTCTCGTAAAGAGAATTTGAGGGACGGGGGGGGAAGAAACATCGCGTGAATTCCGGCCGTTTGTCTCGGTTACAGTTTGGCACGCCATGGTGGGAAGCAGCAGATTCTCGTCGCGAATCAGCCACGAGTCGGCCGACGAAGCCTACTTCACCACCGGGGCCGATTTGTCGGGTAGGTAAAACCACGAGGTTATTTCATTCCGGGACGATACCCGTCCGACATGTCAACGCGAAAGGAGGTCAACTTTTCTCGATGTCGTTGGCGAGCTTAACGGGCGCGATGGCTTTCACATTTTCTCTGTGTGGCCCATATATACGGTCGTAAACCCTAATGATGTATCAACACGCGACGAAAGCCGAACGTTTTCCCGCGATTTCTGTTCGCCGATTAGAGGGAGGGACTGTTTAATGCCGCGCATTGATTTCTATTGATCGTACAAACTGATGATTACATCATGGTATATAATTTATATTTTTATTAGCCGAATTTTACGCAACTTAACGATAGTAAAGTCAACGTGTTGAACAATTTTGAAGATTCGAACGTCAAAGCTTTCGAAGGAAAAGCGCCGTATCTCGGGCGACGCACTCCGAGGAATGTTTGTACAACCTCGTTCGTCCACCTTGAATAGTCCTTGTACCGAAAACCGGACATTCGACTAGCTGCCGGAAAGAGCACACGGCGCGCGGACGTATTATCATAATACGGAGGCCGCGGAGTAAACAAGCACGACTCGCGAGAGGACCACCGACGGGTCCATTATCGAAATTTCAACAAACAAATAAGATTCGGACGGACGCTCGCTTCCCGTACGCGACGCAACGTCCGCGGAATCGCGATTACATAATCCCTCGCGACATGAATTTTCAGGTGGTCACGCATTTGCTAATGAGACCTTCTCGATCTTTCCAGCGAGCAGCGGCAGCGAGACGAACGGCCTCGGCGAGGAGACGATGGCCAACAGCGACTACGTGCCTTCTTCGGAGCAGCACAGCGGCCCGTATCTGGTCGGGCCGATGGTGATACGGGTTTATCCGGACGGCCGGCCCGTCCCGGAGGACCAGAAGCGCCCGTTGCCGCGCGACGAAGACGCGGACGAGCTGAGATACTCCCGCTTGCCGTCCGTGGAGGAGATCGAGGCCACCACGTTCTACGGGAAAGGCGCGAAGGAGCCGATCGGCAAGCCCTACGTGACGCGTTTCCGCGGCGGCAGAAGAGCGATCGAGCGTTACTACTGATGAGAGCCTCCCCCGTGTCTCTCGTGTATCTGATAGGTGAGAGAGATACCGTGTATTCGCAACAGGGATTTTCCGTCATCGCGATCCCACGGCGAGATGTCGCGAAGATGAACGGCGTAGTCACGCTGTGGAGATGAGACGGACGATAAGTTTTATCGCCGCCGTCGATGACGAGAAGCGAGGAATGGTGAACCTCGTCAGAAAGCCCGTGATTTACGGGCGATCGCGAAGCTTGACGATTGGTCGGCAATTAGATATTCTTAGGATAACCGAGGAGGATACACTGTATGTACAATCGTACGATAACGCAAATAATCGCCGACCATGATGAGTATCATTCAGCTTCTCCACTTATTTAATTTCATTCATTCGCTATTTATTTAATCGCGTCGGGATTGTCATGCAAAACTTCCGCGAAAAACGTCGATAAGACCTTGAGAAAAGGAAGAAAAAACGTCGATCGTGAATTGAATACGCGTTATTTTTCACCTGATGCGCGCGGCTTCGCGCCTCACACTAGGGAACCAGTATACCTCGCTGCTAAATACCGCGGTGTACGCTCGAATAATCGTCGAATATTTCGCATTAAGGTTCAAAGCTTACACGGAAGAAAATTAGTCTGAAATTAAGAATAGATCTTCTCATATATATATAAGCAAGAATATTCTCACAAGATTTTCTTACTTTTGAATTAAGTTCGAGTAATACTTGCATCAATGTAAATTCAATCAAATCAAGGTTAAAAGTCTCCTAAGAAGATTATGATATTCTCACTTATATATGAGAATATCTGTTCTCGATTAATTTTTTTCTCCGTTGCTTTCGGAAATTAATCGGGTAAATTGTCTAAATTAATTGTGTCAATTATACGCACGGATTATTACAAATTGCGGATAGTAATAAACACCGGAGCGTTGAATTGTCGTTTGCACACAACAAGCAACAAACAACAATTAATCGGACAGAGAAAGTCATTATAGTACGTGACGACTGCAATTAGTCGTTAATAATTATATGTTTCGCCCTGTAGATATTCGACACACAACGGTCGTAGTTGTTGTAATTTTAAGTCGATGAGAAATAAGTAGAACTAGTAAAGTGTGATAAAACACAATCATTATATATATATATATATATATATATATATATATATATATATATATATATTCGACGCGAGATTAACGTACGAATAGGAAAATGTGATAAATTAAGACTAACGCGATACCTAATAAATATACGTTAATATAAATACGCAATGAATTGAGCAATTGTGCACGCAAAGAGATAAGTGTTAATTTCGCTTGGACGAGATCGTTCTTATCACGGATTATTATATGTAATATGTCCTACGATAAGAAGCTATTATTTCGTTGTCGATTGTGAAACATGAAGTATATTTTTTTATGCGACTACACAAGAGTATACGTTGTATGAGTATGCTACGAATTCGACATTATTATTTGGTTTTAACGATTTCGATGTAATATTAGTTTATATATTTTGCGGTAATACATAATATTGTATATATAAGTATTGCGTGTTGTAAACACAATATATATATATAAAATGATGTCGTTAGAGCAGATTAAAACATTAGAGTTGTACCACATTTTCTATGTTATTTTCATACTCTTCGAAAGCTGAATAAACAAACATGCGGACCGATCGAGCCGATGCGTAATATTGATGAACGCACTCAACCGGTTAGAAGTTTCTTGAAACTTATACGATACGTAAAAAAAGAAAAACAATATTGTTGATACTGACGATCTCGCGTCCCGATCGATAACCGCGAAATAAGTCAGCATACTTTCGGAAAATGGACAATTGGTAAGGAAATCTCACGTCTTGAGCACGAAGGCTCGCGGTGCATTAATACTGCCCGACTTCCTATGCATACACAGAGAAAAGGTTTTCTTAGATTTAGTATTTCTATTCATTTGACTAAAATTTGTTTCATAGAAACAACATATACGAAATATTATTTGTTTGAGTAAAAATTATATATTGTCTCATTCAAGAAAGCTCTATTATTTAACGCTTGAAAGAACACTTGAAATAATATCTTTCAACAAAATGAAATATTATTTGGTCACAATAAATACGTGAGATGAAAGAAATAATTTCTTTATAAGAAAATTATCTTTCCTTTCAAACAAATTTTTTATTTAAGATACATACTCGTTGAAAAGTCTAACAATCATACTTATGGATCAAAATATTAGTTTCTTTGGAGCGTGCCAATGATGAAATTTGTTTGGATGCAATAAAATGTATTAAATTTGAAGGAATCTTTTTCTCAGTGCAGCAATATATCGGAAATTTCCAACTAAACATATCATTTAGGATATCGTATTTTCCTCCGAAATGTCACGACGCATCGCAACAGTATTTTCCTCCGTATTCCGAGAAATTGCTCTCCTCGTGTATGATTTCGCGAATTAAACATGCAACTTGGTAGGCGCACTATCGTTTGCAAACTGTATTTTTCTTACCTTGTCTCCTCCGTGGTCGAAAGGATGACGACTCGAAGCCCGAACTATCCTGATGTGACGAAATACTTCAATCGGCGAATTTTCCAATGATGATGATAATCCCAACACGCAATGAGTAGTGAATTGCACTTGATAGACGTTTTATTCGGCACAATTTGCGCGCGCCTCACCTCACCTTCGGCGGATGGAAAGTGCAACTTGATTCGAACCGCCATACCGCAACGAACGCGCGATATTTTTTCCGGCACTCCCGACGCGGTTCGTTCCGCGAGATATGTATTTTCAGTTTTTCCTTGACGATGTCTCGTCACCGCAATCGCGCGATACTCATTTTCGGCGAGCCGAGATCGCGGGAAATACGGAAAGACTATGATAGTATTTTGGATACGACAGGAATGCCGCGCGACCGTTCCACAATTGGCCGCCATATTGGACGATTGCGATTATCGAAGTTCCGACGCGCACTGCACTTCACTCGACATTTCCGATTAACCGTTGCACGGTGTACCTTCGGCAACTATTTAACGACACATTCGAGTTGCACGAAAGTTATGGTACTTTCGGTATTCTCGGCGATGGCTCGCCTCAGATCGTCCGTTGACAAGTCGCGGATGCGAAAGGTAGCGATTCAAAGTCCACGTACCATAACCCGTTACATTCGCATTCCGTTTCGCAAAAGGATTCGTTTTCGACGATGTCGTACCACACGGACGTTACTCTCGATGATAATTCATGCGATAACTCACCATCGGCGAGCCGAAATCGCAAGAAACACCGGACGGCTCTCGAGCTCCGACGCTTCGCGCTTCGTTCCTTGGCTTTCAATGGACTTGAACGGAGCAACGATTGATTCGTGTATCGAGAGCTCGATCGAGCGCAGGCCAATCATCATGCTTCATTTATTTCCTTAGAAATCACGAATTAAAATTTCACTTCGCTCCGAATTCGAATAGTATTCATAATATCATAATATTCATAACATCATAATATCATAAATCAATCGATTCGAAAGCGGACTCTTGTGCTACACGATGCCTTTTGTACTTGTTTCCGATGTAGATGGCGTAAGAGATCAGACATCGCCCCGACATAGTCTTTCTTTCTCTGACGGATGGTCAAGCTGGCATGATGTACGGATTACCTAGACCTACGGCGCTATTCTAACCCGCTTGTATCGGGAACGTCCGTGTTTCTTTGCTGCACTTCCACCGCACGGAGGGAGTACAGTGAGGAAAAAACGCCTTCCTCGATCTCTCGATAGAAACGTTGCCTTGAGCCGCACCTGTTACGCGCGCAACGATCTACCAACTCCGCGACTCGTGCTTCAACCAAATAAGGCGAAGGGCGGAACAAGTATTGCAGCGCGAGTGTGTGGGAGGTGCTGCCGTTGAGCTATCGTACCGTACACTGTCGTGGACGTCGCATCGACTTGTCTTCGTTCGGTTAATTATTGTCGGACACGGAGAGGCGATCGCCGGCGAGATGTATGAGACAAGTAAGTAACGCGCGTATTGCCTTGTCTTTGCGACTTCTACCGTACGATTTCTGACACGGCTCTGTCCACCGGGATATCCCTCTTTCCAATTTTCCGGTTTGCTTATCTCCGGTGAGATAGGCCGTTATAACGCAACGGGACCGAGGTCTGAAGGTTTCTCTTCGTGTATTTATTTATTCATTCCGACGAAATTACACTTCACATTTTTTCTAATTGTTACTTGAGCAAGGATCGTATCTTTATGTGACGTGATACACCGGACGCGGGTACCGATGTCAATCCATGCATACTGGGTGACCGGAAATTATATGGCGTTTTAATTATATTTCACTTGGGTGAGATATATGTCGAGATCGTTTTTCGAATATACTCAGGACGGTAATTAAAAAGATAAATCATGACATTGACTGGCAAAACTCGATCGGATCTTAGATAAGAAATATATTTGCCGTTGTACTCCTATCTGAGGAGCAAATAAGATAAGACCAAGTACTTGGTAGTGCGATAAAAGAAAATTCGTGAACATGTACATTTAATGAGAAAAATATCGTAATTAATGATGCATCCAATTTATGTATATCGCTTAAAGTACAAATAAATTATTTAACTTTATTTTATTAAAAATGTTATTTATTTATATTTTTCTTACCTATTCATCCGTAATTTATCGATTACGAAAATTTTTCAATTACACTAATGCTGAAAAGAGATGGAAAAATTATAAAATGCAGGATGTACCGTAGCTTGTTAGCGCTTAAAATAATATGAGATAGTAGGAACTGGACCGATGCCAATGTATCAAGGAAGAGTATTTTAGTTCCAGCACCAGGATGTAGTATTATGCGTTGTTCGTGTGACATTTGATCTCTCCCGGTATTAATAGACTCCATTATGCCACCTTTTATTTTAGAATTTTAATTATTTATCTCGGAAAGTTATATCCCTTTCTGTTGAAAAAAAAAAAATGTTTCTCCTCTTGTTTGACACATAATTATTAACTGTTAAAAATATGCGTCCTCTTCTTATTTTGCTTTTCTGTCTTGTACATTATAGAATATATATTTGCCGCGTTACCGAGGACTCAAAGGGGCCAGCCTCTTGTACTGGGAGGCGATCCTAAGGGAAAGAATTTTTTATACACCAATGGCAACAGCGTTATCATTAGAAATATTGATGTGAGTTTTAGCTCTACGTTGAAATGTCTCTCATTATCATCTCAATCATAGTTCGGGCGTATCGATTGATATTTCGAATAATTTTATAGAATCCAGCGATCGCAGACGTCTATACAGAACATTCTTGCCCTGTGAATGTCGCCAAATATTCTCCCAGTGGTTTCTATATAGCCTCAGGAGGTACGTGTGATAATGTTTGTAGATTATCTCATCGGAGTGATCAACATAATAGTTATCGTTTTTATTACAGATCAGTCAGGTAAAGTACGTATCTGGGATACAGTTAACAAAGAACATATATTAAAAAATGAATACCACTCGATCGGCGGGCCCATCAAAGACATTGCTTGGTCAGCAGATAGTCAGCGCATGGTTGTGGTCGGAGAAGGCAGAGAAAAGTAGAATTAGTTTAAACGTGACGTAATGAGCAAGACTCACCATTGGCGAGGTATCGTTAACGCGTGAATAATTCTGTTTAGATTCGGACACGTCTTCATGGCGGAGACGGGAACGTCCGTGGGTGAGATCTCCGGTCAGAGTAAATCCATTAACTCGTGCGACTTTAGACCGGCGAGACCGTTTAGATTAATAACTGGAAGCGAAGATAACACCATCGCCGTGTTCGAGGGACCTCCGTTCAAGTTCAAGTACGCGCATCCATTGATCTCATAGTTTGTTTTCTATTTTCACGCGGCTTTACAACAATCTACTTGTTCAGGATGACCAAGCAAGATCATACTCGTTTCGTTCAGGCCGTACGCTACTCGCCAAGCGGGAATCTATTCGCTTCCGGTGGATTTGACGGGAAGGTATTCATATATAATGGACTAACGTCTGAACTTGTGGGAGAATTAGGGCCTCCTGCGCATCAGGGTGGAGTGTACGGGGTACGTATGACGTAGTGACGATGCGAATGAGTTATTTATAAAAAGCCGTTTATTCTTCGTCTTGTAGGTTGCATGGAAACCCGACGGCACTCAGTTACTAACTGCTTCGGGAGACAAGACTTGTAAACTGTGGGACGTCGAGACGCGTACTTTAATTACCGAGTTTAACATGGGAGCAACGGTCGATGATCAACAAGTTTGTACAATTGACATATTGAGTTTACGCGGGAAAATAGTACGCGATAAATTGAAATAATTCCAGGTGAGCTGTCTGTGGCAGGGGGAACACTTACTGTCCGTGTCGCTTAGCGGCTTCATCAATTATCTTGACGTCGACAATCCTCAGAAGCCTATAAGGATAATAAAAGTAATTCCTCGTACTACGGTTTAGTAGTACGTTTCGATTTCCTTCTTTAATGCGCTTACCGTTTTCACAGGGTCACAATAAGCCGATAACGGTGCTAACGCTAAGTCCTGATAGAGGTACTATTTACACCGGTTCTCACGACGGTTACATCACCAATTGGAACGCGGAGACAGGGGAGAATGATCGTGTGCAAGGGCACGGCCATGGTAATCAGATAAACGGGATGAAGGCCGCGGATAATTTGCTCTATACCGCCGGTATCGATGACACCTTGAGATCAGTTGATATAGCGACGAATTCGTACGCGGAGACTTCCGTGGTAAAATTGGACTCACAACCACGAGGTCTCGATATACACAAGGATATGGTCGTGGTACCTTCGGTTCGGCAGGTAGGTAATACGTGTTAATACAACGATCATTCGTGTAAATCACGTCTATGTTTCGTAGATTGCAGTTACACAAAACGGTAAAAAGCTGTCCAGTGTGCCGATCGATCACGAGCCGTCGTGTGTATCGATTAATCAAGAAACTGGAGAGGTGGCCGTTGGATGCACATCGGATAACAAAGTATGTACTTTACATACGTAAGGGATGTGAGATCGTTAAACTATGTGTTGTTCGTACAGGTTCATATTTACGAACTGTCGGACAGTACGCTAACTCAAAAGACTGAACTAGAACACCTGGGCCCTATTACGGATGTCTCGTACAGCCCTGATAATAAATACCTAGTCGCCTGTGATGCTAACAGAAAGGTTATACTGTACGGTGTACCGGAATACAAGGTAAAGAAAAAATCTTATATTTATCAATAATTCGTGTCTGATTAGTTCAGAATTTAACTCTGTGTGCTATGTAACAAAGAAACTCGGCATAGCAACGATATTAACAAAACTTCCTAAGATAAATGAATGTGCAGCCACATAATTTATATATTTCATGCACTAATAACACATCGAGCGATGCGTAAATCATTGCTTCCTTCTTTAAATTAATTGGTTTGTTATTTCCCTGCTAATTGGATTACCAGAGGGTGAGTAAATTGGATAAATGTAGATTGCACGATTATATATGAACATACGATTATGTACGGTAAAATATGAATGTGAGTTTGATATGTACGTTCTTCGGCTTGCAGCTTGCACACAATCGAGAATGGGGCTTCCATAACGCGAGAGTGAACTCCGTCGCATGGTCTCCAAATTCTGACATGGTTGCAAGCGGCAGTCTCGACACGACCATTATCATCTGGAGCGTGACGAATCCGGCGAAACACACCATCATCAAAAGTAAGTAATTAACAGATCTGACTCCCGGCACATAATTAATGAACGAAACTTCACGTTTTAGATGCTCATCCGCAGAGCCAAATAACGCGTTTAGTCTGGTTGGACGAGGAAACGCTAATCTCGGTCGGCCAGGACTGCAACACTAAAATGTGGCGTATACAAAAGATATAATTAACTTTTTGAAGAATTTATTATCACTATTAAGGAAACTGAAAACTTTGGAAGCATTTTATTTATTTCGTAGTCTATATGGATATTGTATATTATTTTTTAATACGATCCTTGATATATGATTAAAAAAAAAAAAATTATATTGCAATCTTTTGCATTATTTTCACTAACATAGCGTAAGTAAGTAACCCTACGCCGTACTTACACGAATCGTTCTTCCTTGTTGAAATAATATGTCGCATTCGGCGTTACGAATCACAAAAGCTTGCTTCTTCGTTATCTAATTCATCTTTATTAAAACGTTGTAACAATAACAAGAAAACGATAACAATTCGAACACTAAGGGTCTTCAGGAACATTTCACGCTTTTTTTTTCTTTTTTTTTTTACTTTACCGTTTGTACACTTAACGAGGAGTAAGATGGTTATTATTTGTCTTATTATTAATCAGTCCGGTACTGAATGTCTCTTACAGAAATAATTGAGGTACCATGAGCTTTCTCATTAGTCTAGTCTCTAGTTTAATATTATATATACATAATACACATATATGTGTGTGCCTAGAAGTTTATTCAATATATTTAATAAAATATTTTGCTTTTTCTCTCTTTCTTTCACTCTCACCGTCTCTCACTTCGAATAACCGTAATTGGGTGATCACGCAAAATTGATAAATTTTTGATCCAGAGATCCTAGCGAGGGGTTAAAAGTGTGTCTATGGTAACACAAGTGGAAACTTCTATGGCTTCGATGTACTGTAACGCGTACGTTTCTGCGGAGGTGTCACCGGGTGCCTGTACGACACGTGCTTCCTGAGAGCGTCTCGGGACCGCGACACGTGCGAACAAGCCGCGCAGCTATACGAACTGTTGCTGTGAGTCTCCATGTGTACCCGCAGGTTGTACTGATTGCTCAACTGTTTGCCACAGATAAGACAGGTGACACTGGATTTATTGTAAGTCTGAGGAGCGGTTCTGCTGGACGCCGCGAGAAACTTGAAATTCGCGTCCCACACCGCCGGTGATGGTGGTGGCTTCACATCCTCTACCACGGGCGTGATCGATCGATCTTCTACGAGCACCGGGGTCGTTTCGTCCACTCCGCTCTCCGGGTAAGCTTTATCGAGATACTTGTTCGCGCCGGACGCGTTAACAGGAACGACAGGTGGTACTTTTTCCCTTTGATTTAGCTTCGCGTTTATAGAGTAATAGGGCTTTGTCTTGACGCAATACGGTATACTGTCGCGATCGTTACTCGATTCATCGTCTAAATTATCCGTTATTTCCGGCAGCAACGGCGCCGACATCGATTCCGCCGGCGATTCGACACTGGCGATATTGTTATCCTTCGACTCCTTCTTTATTATCATCTCGTTCGACGGGGCTTTCTTCTCTTGGGGCTGCGTCGCCACCGGCGGCTGCACGTACAGGCCGTTGTCGTGTCTCGCGTTTTTCTGAAATGAAAAGCAGAAAGAAACGCACGGGATCAGGTAAATTGGGCTTAAAGAAACGATCGCCGTGTTTCTCCGTTAAAAGGGAACAACGATAACGACGGTCTCGGATGCGGTATCAATCTTGCAATGACACAAGAAATGTCTTACTGTGTGCGGCGTCATATATATATATCTAGTTTATGTGTGTCTACTGAAGATATCGGGACTTGTGAGAAATTAATACATATAATGCATAAATGTACACAAATATGTAAACCCTGCTGTCTTTTCAAATTCATAATGATAATGTATTCTAACAGCCGTAAGATATGTATATGTGTGGATATTAATGACATACAAGATAGACAACGAATTTCGATAAATTCTTTTGAGATTCAACAAAATAAACCACTTTCTTGAAAATGTGGCTTACTTTATATTATACGTCACAGGTTAATACATTAATTATCTGCTTATTTGTTTGTCATAAAAATGAACATGTGAAAAAATATTACTTAAGGATACTTAGCATGATGATTTTTTGAAATATACATACTTCTGGCACATTAATTACCATAGATATATATCTGTAAACGATGATTATTCTAATAAAATTTCCGTTCTTTTGAGAAATTTCAATTCAACGGTTATGTTACAACTAATGCCGAATACTGATAGTTCGACAAATCCACGGTCGTCGACTGTTCTTTTGGAAAGTTCATTTGCAAAAATCATTTTGTCTGAAAGTATCTCATGCAATTTTTCCTATACTTTCGCCAATAATGCCTCTGGACTTTACAAATTAATGCTAAACATTTGTTACATCACCACACTTGACTAAAAGTGTTAAGCATTACTGCGGAAAACATATGTGTTGTATAAAATCGCCGTTCTAACTTTCGCTAATAACAGTTTAGTAATTTAGAAATTCGTTGGAAGAAGCTATTTTAGATATACCTGTAAAGTCATTCTATGGGGTAAGGTTCCATGGGATGCATCCACTTGCATTTAGTTGCAACACACACAACGATCTTGATCTCGTGGATATCGTTTTTTTATTCATTATCGTTCCTTCTCGATGCATGTACGAACATAATATGTGTAGCGGATAATTCCTTCGTGAAGTACTTCTTGAGGAACGACAGTGAATGTGTTTAAGTGACCTGAACAAAACAACACGATCATAGGGTAATATAAAGAAGATTAAGAGAGGAACAAGCGAACATGAATTTTACTTCGTTCTTTTTGCGATCCGTTGAATAATTATAAGAGAATTAATCTTTTGGGATCTTCACTGAGATATTTACAACGATACTGTGGCAATTCTGTAATTTTCAGAATGTTTGTCATCACACATGCATGTTGCGAGGATATGAATTTACAGCGTAATATAAGTGTTGTGATATACAAAGTAATTTATTACGATATTGTAGTAATACGAGATAATACTTTACAAGCGGCATCGGGTATTGAGTATACAAATACTATCAATCGAATATTACAATGCATAAATAATTATCTAGCGTAATGTCGGTGTTAATAAAAAGGATAAAAAAAAAAGAAGTCTAGTTTAAAACGTCGTTAATGAAGAAAGTTGCATAAGATTTGGCAGTGTACATATGTATATATTATGTATTGGCTATACTGCTTGAGTATGTATCCATAGTTATTTCGTACGTAAATTTGCATACGTGTTTCTAAATAAAAGATAGAAATTTTTAGTATGTGTTTGCACAGTAAATATAACCACGTGTTAGAGGAAGTCCGATTTCTATAACAGCATATTTACAAAGTACATGCTTTGTTATAAGCAATTCGGAATATTTCGCTCGAATGCAGGTATATTAACAAGATTAAGTGTTTTGTTCATGCTAATTACCTTTAAGTACCAAAAAGCACGCCATTAATATCACAGTCTTTACTTCTCGACATATTACAACATAATGTATAATCGCGAATACACTATTCTTTTTTTTTATCTAGAAATATTATTCGCTTCTTATACACAAATATATATTCAAAAGCGTTAAACGTATGTGAATACTTTAATAAAACGTTCTACGTGACGCCGTAAGTGCTAATACAAGAAGAAAAATTAGAGATTGATCAAGAAGACAGATTTGGAAAATGCAACGTAGAGAGAGGTAGGCGGAAAGAGATGCATTATGCAACTCTTTTTCAATGTGCAGTATAAATTTCTTACTCTCTGATAGTTTTGGCATGATTACATTTGTTATATTGTTTAGGATAAGGAAAACTTACCCCGGCTATATCAGCTAATCCACGAATGTGTAATGTATCAGCCATAGCTAAAAGCGCAGGTAATTGTTCTTGGTAAATATTCACCTCTCCATTATACATAAACGTGACGAGGGCACACAAATTTGCATATTCCATGCCTGGCAGCACAATAACAGGATGTTGCAAAGAGTTTAAGTCCTAAAAAATTCATTCATAAAGTTCTATATTGGAACAGGTTTGAATGGGGCAGGGACAGCAATCAAAGAATATATTTTGTGTTAAAACTGGAATATAAGAAAAGAAGAAAGTGTTATAAAGACTCAGATATCTGCTGTGTTGTTAATAGATCAACGTATAACAGATATCCACTTGCATAACATAAAATAAAACATCTTCATAAATACCTTAAAAAGTTCCTTAAAATAATAACTACAAGCTGATAATATGATTCTGTGAGCATGAATATGTCTACCACCAGCGCTCAATGTGACATCTGTTAGATGGCCACCGTCGAGCAGCTTCGGGAGAGAGCTCAAAAGTGTATTTTGGAAATTGTGCCATCGTAAACAGAACTGTTGGCTCTCCATACCTGCTTGCTGTAACAACAAAAGGAAATACCGCGCACTCAGATAGAAAATTCTGCTGAGGCAACGGTCAGGATTAAATCTGAATAATTGCGCACGACATTTTGATTGCACGAGAAATTGCAATAACGAGACTGTCGTGAGGTACAGTTTTTTTTTTCTTCCTCGAAATTCACCTTTTTTTTTTTCAACGAACGATACCCGCGCGACGTTCCGCCGACACGTTGGGCGAGCGGATCAAATCTATCGCGTTATCTGCGTGTAATAGCACGTAACGAATTTAATCTCGCAACGGTGGACATAGGTTATGTACACGGATCGGTCGAAATTACGAAAGAAAAAACGTCGAATTACGTTCAAGGGGCCGTTTGCTCGCACGGATGTAGACGGACGCTACTGGCGGTGCAGTCCGCGAGAGGCAGAGACACAATACTATTTATTTAATCAGGCTGCAGGTTCCAGCCAAATCTATTATTGTACTCAGGTATGGCTGGAGGAAAGGACAGCCGTCATGCGCCCTCCGTGATTTACCAGTCGGTACGTAATCGATCCACTTTTGACATCGCGCGACGACTCGGAAACGACACGAATTCGTGTTTCTCCTTACCTCACGAAAATCACCGTCCGCGATAAACGGAATAATTCTTCTTCGCACAACACTCCTCCCTCCCTTTCTTTTACTCTCATCTGGCAATCGCCATTATCACACGAGCACCTATAAGTAGAGTGTGTCAAGTCGATCGAGGGACAGGTGGAACCGCCTATCATCGGATGAGCGAAGCGATCGGAGAGTCATCAAAACGCGGCGAAATGCTGTTGCGGCGCAAAATCACCAGTCAAAATACAACTCAGTAGTTATCTACGTAGTGAATTACTAGGTGGGAAGAGATTTATCGTGTTGACATACACTTCGTGACTAATTTGCCGTGTGGTCGACTGAAAGACATATTTGTCGATATTGTTCCTTCCGGTTGATATATAATTGACTCTCCCGCAAATACAGCCGATGTGTTCGACGAGAATGCGCGCGAATGTAGACTAATTTCGGAAAATGCCTCGTGTGACTCTGCGAATATTACTTCACCACTGGGCGATATTCACGATATTCTCTTGTTTCTTTGTTACCACCGATGGCACCGCCAAGACAAACCAGTTGACAGTATGCGTTCAACAATCCGGGAATGTACGCAGGTAACTGTTCGATTGACGTGTACTTTTTCTTTCATTCGATCTGCCTGAGTCAAAGTTTCGATAAAAGGTTTTCCTCGTCATTTTCTCATCGGGCTCTCTCTTTCTCTCTGCTTTTCCAATTTAACAGTTTCGGACATGTAAATTCAGAATAAAGGATCGAGGACAAGGAGGGGGGCAAATTTAAATAAACGTTTGCCGATTTGTTTGATTCCTGGGGTGATTCTGAAGATTTGGGGGTTTTTCTGCGTGTAAAAATGAATTAAGCGAAATTCTGCGTTTACAAAGAGACGTATTTTGTTTTGCAAGCTTGATATTCGTCAGTACATTGGATGGGAAAGTATCGGCCCTGGATGCTGCCAATAATGGAAAAAAGCAATGGTCTCTGGACTTCAACGATAGACCAATGTTGTCATCTGATATTCACAACAGAGAGGTAAGAACATTTTTACAGATATTAATTGTGTTGATCACATTTGTAGTGGTAATTATCCTATTTTTCTAAGTAGTACATGCATCATCTCTTGATGATATAATACGCAAACATATTAATTTACAGCTTAACGATAATGGACAATGGATACGTTTGATCCCATCTTTAAATGGTGGATTATATAAATTTGATGGTGAAAATCTGGAGATGCTACCGATAACAACAGATAAATTATTACATTCTTCCTTTCGTTATTCCAATGACTTAATTTTCTCAGGTGGCAAAGAATCACATTCTTATGGTAAGTTCTGAACAAAAATATATGTGAACTATAGTTATATTTTGTGCAACGGTTATAGTCAAATTATGTTTTAGTACGTGTAGAACTTGGTACAGCCAAATTTTAACTTAATATTGTGTAAATTATGAGTGTTTTTCTTCTTTAAAAGGTGTGCATGCCAGTACGGGAAGAATCTTGTATGAATGTGACGTCAATAAATGCACAAACTATACAGATGGTAAAGGATACTCAGAACAAGAGATACTTGTCATTAAACGCTTTCAACATACCGTACGAGCTGTAGAGGCTCGTACGGGTATTGAAAGGTAAGCTATATCTCTTGTATCTTTACAATGTTAGTCACTATGATTAGTATTATAATCGTAATGTTTTTAATCAAGATAGAATAATTTTCCAATTTTCTTGTCTAAAGGTGGAATTTTAGCGTCGGACATCATGAATTAATGCTAATACCTCCTGCTGGAACTTATTGCGATAAAGCTAACTTGTTAGATGTACAAATCAAAGCGGTTATTCCTGAAGGCTTGATTTTGGCTGTTAATGAGAGCAATCCCGCCTACAAGTTATGGCAATACAAAGTTGGTAGAATTGATCGCAATTTCTAATGTGTAATGTTTTATGAATGTTGAGATGTATTACTGTTTATTAGTTTGACTCACCAATTGTTTCGATGTGGCGTGAAAATGCAAACAAAGATTCTACAGATGAAGATGCTTTGAAAGAAATCAATTTGTTCGACAACTTTCAATGGGTTTTGGACCAGAAATACTCAACGACCAGCCCGGGTTTATACATAGGCATGCATCAGAGACAATTGTATGTGCAGGAAAACTTCAAGTTAAAAAAAACATTGGATTCTTCTCGTAAACAACTTTATCCTACAATATATCCATGGCAACCGTTTCCGGCTATTGGTATAGAAAAAAATCAAATTTTCTTACATACTCTATTCTTTCATATACAGAAAACGTCCCAGATCTCGCGGCTTCAATTTTACCGAGAGATTCTTTGAGCAATTCGGAGACATTGTTTCCTTTTGGAAAATTATTATTTATAGCGACTTTTTAATTTTTAACATATCTTTATAGCTAAGTCCCAAAATAAAAATTTTCAATCAAAGTTCTACTTACTGATCAAAAGAAAATAATTTCGTTATCCGCTTGGTCGTCCGAAGTTTAGTTTGCAAAAGGCTCCGCCTTTCCGAGTACTTCTATTGCGGAAACTGTTGATGCCTCGACGTTTTCGATGAGGAAAAATTATCTCTAAATTGCTCAGAGAACTTCTCTACGTAAAATTATAGCCGCGAACTCTGGTCACACTGTATATACACACATTATGCTCTATTCTACAGAGGTGAAATATATAATTCTAGGAACCACTATTTTAAATACTTTATCAGATAAAAGCGATAGTCATGAAATTACTGCGATGGTAGAGGACGTGCAATGTACAACTGCATTATCTGTATTGTATAATTCAGAATATGTCAACGGTGAGAGACGATGGAGTCTACTGATATTTCTGTATCAGTAATATATCTATCTATCTATCTATCTATCTATCTATCTGTCTATTTATCTACTTATCTATGATTATAAATATAACGACAAATTTATGACTGTTTTTACATAACCGTTTGACAGGTAACGGATTTTATCTGTATCCGAAATACGAGGAAGAATCGATTCCTACTGCACAGTATAACGATAGTGAATCTGCTTCGATTACGGAAAAACCCATGTTAGTTTATACGGAAGAAGAAAACACTGATCCTACTCGGACAATTTGGATCACATTTTTGTATACAAATTATCAAAACGCCAGTAGATGGGGAGGGTAAGGACCTTTTTTGAAAATTATAAAAATTTGCGTATCATGCCATTTATATTAATGTTTTATGATTGCTAGACGAGGACTACACGCTTTCATAGCAATATCAATGGCAATGACAGTTATAACCCTAATGCATTACGTACCGATATTTTCCCGTTTTAACCGAGTCGTTGACGGTGCTCCAGTTCCCGTAAGTGCATTCTTTTCGGCAGATAGATATTAATCCGCTTCATTTTAAGTAAGCGTAACGTTTCAGCCTGTGGCAACAGAACCACTAACTCCAGTAGCGGAAAACAAATCGGCGGATGATACGATTAATGATGAAAACGAGAATATAAATAATTTCATATCGCGTTATCTAACAGATTTCACGCCAGTCGATTGTTTGGGTAGAGGAGGATACGGCGTTGTCTTTCAGGCAAAAAATAAATTAGATGGTTGTCAATATGCTATCAAAAGAATTGCCTTACCAAATACGTAAGTTCTTAATTGTATAATTCTGTGTTGTGAATAGTGCAACTCTGTATTGAAATTTAAGTAATCGGGGGGGGGGGGNAAATATAATTTCATGAGAAAATTTATGTTGCAGTGAATATCCGAGGGAGCGTGTAATGCGAGAAGTAAGAGCATTAGCTAAACTGGATCACCGCAATATCGTAAGATATTTCAATTCCTGGCTGGAATTCCCTCCTTGTGGATGGCAAGAAGACCACGATAAGCAGTGGGCCATTAAATTATCTTCGTCTGGTTGTCCATCGGTAATCTCTGAAACTGAAACAAAACCCCACGACGTGCACATCGACGTTCCACAAACCGATTCGCCATCTGTAGAAAGCGCCATTGAGGCTTACAAACTGGACAAGAACCAATCGGAAATAACCAACGATTCAGTCGTTATATTTGAATATTCAAACGAAAAACAACATAATGATGATGATGCAATTTACATCGGTGATTCCAATACCGATGGTTCGGACACATCTTCGAATAATGCAACAAAAGATCTGTTACCTAATATCGATGGTCATTCCGAAAGCATCGTGTTTGAAGGAAGCAGTAATTCCGAAAGCATCGTGTTTGAAAGAAGCGATAACAATCTGGGGAAAACCGATAGCAATATTACTGAAGAAATCGATAACACGGAAAAAACCGACAACAATAATATGGAGGAGAAAGAAGGTCGTGATCGTCGAAAAGCTTTGCTCTCTTTAAATTTGGTCACCGGATCGAACAATTGCAACTCAAGAAAAGTATTCCTGTATATACAGACGGAATTGTGCCAAAGACTCAGCCTCAAGGAATGGCTGAGGCTGGAATCGTCAAATCGAGATTCCTCTCGTGTATTAAATATTTTTCAACAGATAGTAGATGCAGTGGAATATGTCCATTTGCAAGGATTAATTCATCGAGATTTGAAGGTATACATTATATCGTTTCTTTTTACAATATGGAATATACGAGAATCTTCAGTGTTATATCTACGATTCTTCTATCTATTTCAGCCGTCGAATATATTTTTCGCACGCGACAATAGTATTAAGGTCGGCGATTTCGGTCTTGTGACCGCGATGACTGAAGGCTACGACGGAACTCGTACACCTGTATCCGAAAACGAGACTGTTACTTTAATTAATAGTATACATACCGCGTGTGTTGGCACGCATTTATACATGTCGCCCGAACAGGCGAATGGCCAATCTTACAACTACAAAGTGGATATTTACTCTTTAGGGATAATTTATTTCGAGCTTCTTACACCTTTCTCCACCGATATGGAAAGAGCAATGGTGCTTACGGACTTGAAAAAGTCCATTTTCCCGAGCAGTTTTGCGGAGAAATATACAGCTGAGGTAAGAAAGTTGTTGCGAGTACGTTAATCTCACTGTTAATATATATATTGCGAGATACATACTGTAAGAAGTTATTTGTTTCTTTTTACAGTATAATTTGCTCAAACTGATGTTGGATGAAGATCCTGCCAAACGACCTACAACTAGCGGCATTAAGGCAATGCCTCCCTTGTTGAATTATCAAGCAGCTAATGAAATTAATGTAGATAAAGATTTAAAAAGTCATTTTAAATTTCCACAACAAACTGGACATTCCTCTATATAACTAGCGATAGTATTTAAATCATAAATATGTAAGTTATGCAAATTTTTTTTGAATTTTTATCATCGACTATCAGATTACGTTTTTTTTTTTCACCAGTAAATCCATATAATATGCATATCCAAGATATATCTCAGAGATGTCATTTAAATATCCTTACATTTTGCTCTACGTGCTGATTCTGTAATTTTTAACGACAAAATCGTTATATGTAGTTGCGCAATACAATGTTATATCTGTACGACGATGCGTAACGTATACATTACAATTATAATGTATGTGTAAAGAAATTACAGAATAGGCTCCGCTGGAAATTTGCTTGTGAGATAAAATATGTGATGTATACGCAGGAAACTTTTGTATCACGTGCATTCACACGTACGAAGTGTATTGAGAAATACAATTTTATTTTATGAAGTTTCATACTTGCATATGTTATGTGTGCAAACATTAATTAATTCTTTTATTTCAAGATATATTTTAATAAACTATCTTAGAAAATATAAGCATCGATAATTATATATAATTATATCGTATTGTTTCCTCAGATATCATTTTAATTATGTATGAAAAAGAGGGAGCGAGAGACAAAGTCATATGGTTAGCTATCTTAGAGTATTCGATATTATTCATATGTTAAAGATACTTCTTGAATCGTCTATTACCGTTCATACGAAAGTTATCTATTGAATTTACGTAAAATTTGGAGCGAAAATTAAAAAAATAATTGTTGTTTCAAGTTTAACCTCAGTAAGAAAAATAAAGAAATGCAAAAAAACAATAAGATTGTGCAAAATGTGTCAATAATAACTCAAATAAACAAGAAAAACGGAAAAAATTGCGCGAACATTTATACGAATTAAAAATTCCTGCCGAGAATCCTGGTGACTTGTGCAAACAAATGACAATAATTTGCCACATTCTGTGGAACGATACACGTTAGGAAGAAAAAAGAATTTGTTGAAAACGAATACCCGGAAGATCTTCATAATCGACAAAGTTCAAGCGCATTTAACTACAAAGATAAAATTCTTCAAAGATATTTCTGACGTCATCAAAGAAGGACAGCTAAAGTGAGTATCATTGGCATCACTGCTTTAGCATCCCCTCAGTCACTGAATTTTACTACACATACACATGGATAAGCAGTTCCAAGCATCGTGTTTGAAAGAAGCGATAACAATCTGGGAAAAACCGATAGCAATATTACTGAAGAAATCGATAACAATTTCACGGAAAAAATCGACAACAATAATATGGAAGAGAAAGAAAGCAACGCTTCGAGCAATCTAACGATAATGAGGGTATTAGAGCTGTACAGTGGCATCGGAGGGATGCATTTTGCACTCTGCGGTAAATTTTAACACGAGAATTATCTCGTGAATAACAATACACCGTCGTGATTATGTCTCAAAGTTAACCTGTAAGATCACAACATGTTCGTTACAAATGTGTATTATTCCAGAAAGTGGAGTTGCGGCAAAAGTAGTCGCTGCGGTCGACATAAATCCTGTTGCGAACGATGTTTACCGTCACAACTTTCCGGGGACCTTTCTTGTGAACAGGAATATCCAATCCATCAGTGCACAGGAACTAAACAAACTGAATGTGGACACTATACTTATGAGCCCTCCGTGCCAACCTTTCACAAGATTAGGACTGAAAAAGGATGTTATTGACAATAGAGCTTGTTCCTTGTTACATGTCTTGGACTTGATATCTGAATTAAGAAGTTTGAGGTATCTTTTGCTTGAGAACGTTAAAGGTTTCGAAATGTCTCAGATGAGGGACAAATTGGTAGATTGTCTGGAGAAATGTGGATATGCTTATAGAGAATTAATATTGAGTCCGTGCCAATTTGGCGTACCAAACAGCAGGCATAGGTATTATTTACTAGCGAAGAGAAAAGATCTGAAATTTCGTTTTAAACGAACTTCGTTAGAAACCGACTTGTCCCCTGAATTATCAAGATTATTGCCAGAAAGTAAACACTCCCTATTAGCGAGAAAAAGTGGCAAAATTAATTCTAAATCCGGCAGAATGTGTTACACGTTAAATAATGTTTTGGAAAATATCGAGGAATTCAAGTATTTGGTGCCCTCAGAACTGTTAAGAAAAAGAGCGTGGGTATTTGACATACGAACGTCTGAAAGCAATGGTTCTTGTTGCTTCACCAAAGGATACAGACACTATGCAGAAGGCACGGGTTCTGTGTACTGTCCATTTTCGGACGAGATAATCAGACTAAAGTATGACGAAGCTACTAATCATGAGGACGATTCAGCCAAGACGCGGATTTTATCAGAATTGAAACTTAGGTTCTTCTCCCCCCGAGAGGTGTGCAGATTAATGTGCTTCCCGGAAAGTTTCGATTTTCCGGAGCACACTACTGATAAACAAAAATACAGACTGCTAGGTAATTCGATAAATGTTCACGTAGTCAGCAGGTTAATACTTTTATTATGTAATGAAAGTGAAAATAATTGAGAATCGATAGAATTACATATCTCTTTCCTTTTCTCCATTCCCACATTCTATTTGTATAACATATATTCTTATTTATAAATATTACTTACATACATACCAGTGTTATGTATGTCATTTGAATCTTAAGCACACATATATATATATATGCCTTATTATATACGTAGCTTAAGATACAAATTATATATATATCACATACTGCAAGCTATACGTACAAAACGATAGTTTCCCTTCTAAATCTATTTAGAAATCATAAAAATTAGCAAACTATTGTGGGTTCATTGAAACCTTGTATTATTACATTCTAAATGTGCGTTCCTTGACACGTCAACGTGATCAACGAACAACACGTCCGATCAGTCGTTGTACTTCTTAGGCTCCAATTCCAATTCCGGTGGAATCATAATTTTCTTCTCCATGGCGAATTTCTTGAGCGCTTGAAACTTCACGTACCACGACTCGATCTCGTCTCTCATGCGATTATTGTTCTCGTGCATTTCCTCCATATCCCTGTATTCCTGAGACTTCTCGGTTTCCAGCTCGTCTTTCTGTTCTATGCGCTTTATACGGCAGCTAGCCGCGTAACCTCTATTCTTCAGCGTGCGTCTCCGCTGCTTCATACGCACGATCTCCTCTTTGGTCACTCCGCGCATCTTCAATTGCCTGTTCAAGTCCCGCACCGATATCGTGACCAGTTCGTCATCGTTTATCGCCAGGCCTGGGTTCGGTGATAACGGGTCCTGCATTGGCAACAAGCTGTGTTAAACCGTGGAAATTAGAGACGCTACGCGTCTCGAGAGAGAATAACGTTCAGTTTGATATCGCAGGGCTGACGCAGGTCGACCGTGTGAGAGAAAGATCATGGCTGAAGGACAACGTACCATTTTAATAGACCTCTTGCCATCCATAACCCGAATCTGGGAACTGGTGGTTTTTTTTCACGCCCGAGAACAAAATAATCTCGAGAACGCTCGTATTCCTCGGTCTTTTGCGCTTTCCCGGTAAATTTGCTTAGTCATCCCGCTGTACCGTACAGACACAATCGCCATTTAGAATCGCGTCCTAAAAACATCGACTCGTCACCGAGAGCATCCAGGAAGACCCGGTAGATGTCGCGTCTTCGTAACGACAATGTCGGTAACAAGTTTATCGACGTGAATTAGCCGAGACACGCACCGTCCGCAGGTTCGCGTCCTTGATATTCACTGCATTATCCACATCACAGCGCGCGGTCGGCCATTTTCGCGCTCCTCTTCCAGCGTACAGACGCGCACCGTGAGCAACGTTTCTTCACTGGTAAAAATCCTGCGATTCGTTTACAGTTTCGCGCTTGAAACGCGCCGACTATCTTGCCTGCCTTGCAGGTACGTATTTTGCGAACAATGACACGATGTTTCACGAATTTCTCAATTATATGGAATATACAACGGTCTGCCATTCATCTCGTCACGTTGACGTGAATAGAATATGGCGCGCGACTGGTTTCGAAACGATACGTCAAAATATCTCGCATAATATCTTTTGCGTCGACACTCGTGGAAGCCAACGTTGATTTTATTCGCGACACGTCCAACGTTAATTTGAAGTACGCTCTCTCTCTCTCTCGCTTTAATCTATGAGCCCCGCGATTCTTACGAGTATGTACGAGTTTAGCTAGTCCAAATTGCCGCTCATAATGACGAGTTTAATTATTGCGAGCACGTTGGCCCCGTCGGTGTATTCCGAGCACGCACATACGCGCGCGGTTTAATCTAAAAATCTACATTACACTCGTCAATTTAAACGACCGTTGAAAATTGAGACCAACGGGATCAGAGAAACTTCACATTATTATTCATTTTATTAATGATGTCACTGAAATTTTGTCGCAGTATCCAATTTCGTCACGTAATCACGAGTGATGTTTTCATCATCAAAATCAGATTTGTCTCTTTTGTGTGTGCAGATACCCGACAAAAATGACGAGAGATGGTTGGGGAAGGAGAGTCGAAGAGAGAAAGATACGGTAAGACACCGGTTGTTAATTTCTCCGTCATTATGTCGCGTAATTTTTACGAGAACTTCGTTCGCGGAAATAAATCAACAATTCAGTCTGACATTGAGGTTGGAATACAAAACAACGTAGCGAAGCAAATAATGCTCGCTCGGACCGACAGGCAGGATTGATGGAAATTCTCGTTCAACAGCGAAAATTTATCCGATCGCAATGACATGTAGTTATATAATGTAGCGAGGGAAAGCACGTATCTCTCGTGGGAGAAATCAAATTTCTCGGGGGATCTGTGCATATGTGCTTACGTCGTATACAAAAATAGAATGTCAATCGATGAACGGGTACTTATAAGATTATTACTGCAAGATATTGTTACTTCGCCTCGAGTCGAGAAACGAATCAATTGACTGGAATCTCTTATATCTATGTAAAAAAATATATCTCGTGTATATATATATATATATATATATATATTTCATGAGGTAGAAAAAGCGAGGAAGATCCAAGCTGACAGGTTCGAGATCTTATCCGCGCGAAGCGTATGAAATCGATAGCTCCGCGGTCCGACTCATCATCGATCGTTACTACTTGAAAGTTCGCGTCGAATACGCGGCGACTACGACTACTTGATTGCGGGATATACGATCCAATTGTGCGGGAAATGTTTCCAACCTTGCCTGAAACACAAGTGACTTTTCAGCAATGCAGTTTATCGCCGATCTCTGCTGCTCAAGTTTTAATTACGACGCTTAGCTTTAGATACAGGAGCTCATGCCGCAGAAGCGAGTTAATTTTGAGGATTGATCTCTCGTAAGAAGGCTCTAAGGTTAGAAGGTTGTAAGTTTGTTCAATGATGCATTAAGGGAACCACTCATAAATTTCACAAAAATTACTAAGCTAAAATTACGCTCCTATATATTTATTTTATCTAAATAATAAATGTTAATTTGAGAAACAAAGTAAATATATATGCAGAATATTACAAATACAAAAATATTGATTTTTACTTTTCCCATTAATACTATATTTATACATTAGTTGATCTAATAGAAAGAGACATATAAACATGTGCGTAAGTATGTGTGAAAAAACAACTGAAATCTACTTAAAAGCCTCTATGAACATAACTTCTTGATTTAACCAAATAACTCGACTCTAATAAGATCCGATGCATATATTTTCCATATACTTGCCCCGAACGGTCATTTTCAATAAGAAGAATTACATTTCTAGAATATTTTGAAATAATGGTTAACTAAATATAGGAAAAATTAGCTAATTCTAAGACCACAATATTTTTTGCGATCGGTAAAAATTGTCCTCACCACTCCGATTATAAAAAAGTGCTCGTAAGCACAGAAGCCCAGACCCATTAATGCCGTTCCGCTCCCTGGGCATAGCGATATTTCGAATAAGGTGCGTAATTTCTGAATATTCGGTGCGTCAAGATTATTCCGTGAATCGCCGACGATGTACCAAAGCAGCGGTCATGACGCACAAATATTTAGTTAAACGTTGCGCCTAATTGGAAATTTCCGATGCTTCGGAAATGGGACGACATTAGTCGAGTTCTCTCTGTATCATACGCGATGTGTGAGCCAACATTTCGTACATCCACCAAATAGCTTAGGTTCCTTTATTCGTCGAATGAAACATAAACTTCGCGACAACTGATCCGCGCGGTGTTCGCGAGAAGACAAAAGGACAACCGTCGACGCGGTTCCCCGGGTGCGGGAAATTCCAGAGAATTTCCAACGGTGAGGCGGCTATAGCGCGCGGAGGCATCGTCGGTCGTCCTCGGAGGTCTTCGGGCGTCGCGTCGACGTCCCGTCGAGGCGCAGCCGACAGTCGGTGGCCGGACGTCGCGACTCACGTATCGCATCGTCGTACGTCCGCGCGCACGGCCGTGCCCTTCGATCAAAACACGAGAACCCTCGCGAGGAGAGAGAACGCGGTCTCTCGATCCTTCGAAGGCTGCGGAGGACTTCCGGCGAGGAGAGCGCGCCGCGGAAAATGCGTAACGGCTACCGTTGCTCACGCGGACAACACTGATGGTCTGTATCCATTCTCCGCGGGTGATCGCGAGTTCTCGTGAAAGGGGGGAGGGGGGGGGGTACGCCGATGGTGCGGGAGGGATGAAGATTTCGTTATTCCGCGTGTTAAATTCTCTCGGTGGAGATCTTCCCTCCCTCTCTCGTGCGTCCCCGATGTACGGAAAGAACCAACGGATCGGAAAATTGAGCAGGGACTTGCGTAATCGAGATATCTCCGCCGGTGCAAGCACGTTTCCCCTTCGCGCGATGGAGATTCGGCGGAACGAGGGAGGGGTGGAACGCACGCTATAGAGTGATGATTTCACGTCGTTATTCGGCTGATTGAGAGTGCCGAATTTTTACGGCGGAAAATATGGAAGCGGGCCGGTTTCGCCAAACGGGGATCGCGTACGAATAGTAGGAAATTGATAAAAATCCGATAAGGGTTGGAGAGAGAGAGAGAGAGAGAGGGAGGGGACACGCTCGTGAAAACGCGATGAGAATAGACGCAATTTCGCGATTAATGCGACCGGGAGGACATTCCGCGCGATGAAGGGTAAAACGGAGTGATCGCGATGCAGGGTGGAGAACGCTTTGCGAAGGTGCGAAAGGTGACGGGATACTGCGCACCAGAGGAGAGAGGAGGATCTCCTCGATGCGGATCATCATCCCTCTTCGTTAGATTATTACCCGCTCGATCCGGCGACGTTTCGTCCACATCTACAATAGGTGTTTTGAGCTTTACGAAACTGACCAATCACAATAGATGATTCTTTTAGAATTCGATTGTGATTGTGTCAATTTCTTAAAAGCATCTATTATAGACCGGGATTTACGGAGAAGTGTATTTCTTCCACGTTACTCTTGTCGCGATAGTTGATACAAGATTTCCGTCCTGTTCTGCATGCGCGTGTGTGCGTGCGCATTTTTCTCAATGAAAAATTCATTTTCCAAGAGGACGGAGCGTTATCGTGGAACGTTTAGAGAGGATTATCCGTTACATCACCGAGATGAGGAGCGGGCTCGTCGCCGGATGGTCGCTTCATGTCGATCGAGCTTTCAGAGCTCCGTGCGCGCAGGATCCTCTTTTGCCATTGCGTATATGCAACGAGGAGAGTCCCTTTCTCGCCGTTCGCCTCCCTACCGATCTCGGGGGGTCGAGCGATCCTTCTCTCGCGCGAGAGAAATTGCGAACGCGCGCGCGCGTCAAACGATAACGGCCGTCCCGTTATTTTTATCACATTGCATTACAACTTAATGTATCTCTCTCTCCTCTCGACGGAGGCTGAAGCCGAGCGATAGTCCCACGGGGACGAAATCAAATCGTTACAGGGACAATCGCTACGATACATCGGAAGATAGGGAAAGCAGTGAAATATATAGAGCTTCGTTGTCGTTGCTCCGCGTAACCGCGACAACGGGAGCGCATAATCCGACAGTTATAATATGCATGCGATTATACGCCGCTATAGATATCGTATCTATAATTGTGGTGATCAATAACACGCACGCCTAGCATGCGGCGGACGTCGAAAAATCGTGCCTCGCGATTGCCTCTCTCTCTCTCTCTCTCTCTCTCTCTCTCTCTCTCTCTCTCTCTCTCTNTCTCTCTCTATATCGGCGACGGCTCGGAGCGAGCGAATTAATTGCTCGCAATTATGCGCATGCATACCGGCGGGACGCGCGTAATCGATTTGAAATTGAAATTACTTTCGCCGTTGTCAGGGGGGAAAATCGTCGGAGCGAACGAACGATCGCTGCGAAAGAAAAAAAAAAAGTATGATTGCTTTTCCGCGCGATTAAGACGTTTCCGAACAATCCTCTCTCTCTCGACGCGACGTGAGAGCGTCGCGCTTAAACTTTCCTTCATCCCCCCCCCCCCCCNNNCCCCCCCCCCGATCGCGTTCGGTCTCTCCAGCGCGACGTATAAATCGCGGGCTCGATATTCACCGACGGGAAAGTTCGCCGCGGCTAGGATTTCCAGCACATTTTATCGCGCTATAGATCATGAGGGCTTTTTTCGC